AAGGGTGAAAGGTTCCCGAGGAATGAGACGGAAAAAATATTTTCCCCCAATTTTGCGGATTTCGTCGGATGGAATCTCAAAAAATTGTACCGTCGTGATTGAATCGGATCAGCTGTTACTTCGATATTAGTAGAGTGCGGATTGATGATGAGGGGGGGAGAGGGGGAAGAGGGGGAAAGGGGGGTCTGGTTTTGTGTGGATGGCTTGGGGGTGAAAGGGTGATGATGATGCGGGTAGATCAGCGTGATGAGGGTGAAGTTGAGGGAGATGGGTGAGCATCAGCCTTTTTACTTCGGTGTTAGTGGAGTGCAGACTGGGGTGAGATGGGGGAGGGGGAGGGGGAAGGGGCTGGGAACCGTAGATGGCTCCGAGGGTGAAAAAGTGAAAGTACTGATGGATCAGCGGGTGGTCCAGGATGTGGTGTTAATGGTGAGGGCGAAGCGAGGGGGATAGGGTGTGGAAAAGGGTTTGGAATTGGCCGGGGGGGGCTCAGGATAACCGGGGGCGGTGTGGGGGGGGGGGGAGGTTAGCATTGAGGAAGATAGTGCTGTGTTCGGCAGAGTGGAGAACAACTTGTGGGTTGAATTAAGTGGCCTTGGAAAGCTAGTAGGCCTACCACGGACACGTTTGGGCTTCGAAGAATGTCTAGTTTCCACCCCCCCACCTTCCCCCCAAATAAAAAAGTGACGCAAGTGAAGCCAGAAGCAAGGCTGTGTCGTAGTAAAAGCGTATCTGCAGAAGAGCAGGAGTCGCCGCCGCCTTCAGGATGCCTCGGCCTCTCCGCCACGCTCGGGCATTCCCCACGGGCATCCCGGGATTACCTCGGGAAGTAGGATATATCGTGGGACTTCAAATAGCAAAGTTACGACGGGAATGCTCTTGCTATTGACTCTGCTCTCCTGCTGTTGCACTGGCTTCTGCTACCGTTTCTGCTGCCGTCTCGATGCTGCTGCTGCTGCTGTTGCTGCTGCTGCTGCTGCGGGATGGATCAATGCTTACGTCCCCAGAATGCTTTGTTTACCCACGCACCCATGTGTCCACCCCTACAACCGCCCACTGCGTGTACCTCTACACAGCCGACCGCAGTGAAGCCTTCCCTCGTTATGAACTCCTACAGTATTACTGGATATGTATCCATCGCGTTATTATCGCATTGTTACGGAGCGGAGTCAGAAATTTGATACAGCAGGTGTACTGTCGGTGCCTCCGTTATAGTTCAGCGCGGCTTCCGTTCTCGATATTCAAATACTGATGGAAACGAAAGAAGCAAATATTTGTTCCTTTTTTGCATCCCACTGTATATCAGTACACAAGCCATAGATACAAACCCACATGGTTACGAACACCGAAACTGGTCCAATTGCACACTGATTTGTTTACATAAGAGGGGCGATCTAAAACGCCTTGTGAACGTCAAAACAACGAGGGATTTCCTGTTTGTTCAGATCGCGAAAGAGCCAGGCTATTCAGTCCCTCGCGAGCTCCTGCCTTGCTCTGATTACCGTACCTGGAGTTGGTAGTTAGGATGGTAGTTGGAATGTTGTGTAAGTGAATACAGGCTCTCTCTCTCTCTCTCTCTCTCTCTCTCTCTTCTCTCTCTCTCTCTCTCTCTCTCTCTCTCTCTCTCTCTCTCTCTCCCCTCCCCCTCCCTCCCTCCCTCCCCCTCCTCCCTCCCTCCCTCCTCCCTCCCTCCCTCTCTCCTCTCTCCTCTCTCTCTCTCTCTCTCTCTCTCTCTCTCTCTTCTCTTCTCTCTCCTCCCTCTCCCTCTCCTCCCCCCTCCCCCCTCCCCTCCCCCCCTCCCCTCCCCCTCTCCTCCCTCCCTCTCTCTCCCTCTCTCTCTCTCTCTCTCTCTCTCTCTCTCTCTCTCTCTCTCTCTCTCTCTCTCTCTCACACACACACACACACACACACACACACACACACACACACACACACACACACACACACACACACACACACACACACACACAAAGAGAGAGAGAGGAAAATAGATTGCGAGTCCGATTGCGTGTGTATGTGTATGTGAAGGGGTATATGTGTATGTATATGTTCATACATATAATGTCAGTTTGCCACTTCACTCTCTAGCGATAACACACATGTTACAGATCGACCCGTGTGCCTCGTATCCGTTCCATGTCATTACTTGTTGAAACTGTCACTGATTACGTCTACTAGAGTCTCCCCATATTAGATATCATTTTTGCTATTGGGTGTAATAATGAAGGAAATATTGTTGGGTGTATTATTATGAACGTATAACTATTAGCACGGGAAAGATCATTACGGTTATCTTTGACCTTGCACTTATCATGTTTATGCTCATGTTGAGGCAAGTGTTCAGTTTAGGCGAATAGAAAAGGCTACGAGGATGTGAATAAAGGCCTCAACACCTCCATTGTTTTCATCCCCTGCACAGCCTGCACTGGTCGCTTATGGCCGAGCAGCGAGCGGGCACCAGAGAGCCGAGAAGTGCGCGCGGAGGATGTTTCTCTGCTTGCGCGGCGGTGTGTGCGGCCGCTCAGTTAGCTAAATCTCGCCACATCCTTTGTCCTCTCACTGAGCCAGCATCACTGCCTCCGTTGCTCTCGGCCTCCCTCTGCTGCAGTTGTTTCGTGGCCATTGCGAGGCGAGTCTCCTCCTCGGCTCTCAATGTCTTTGGTATTGATTGTATGGCGAGGGCGTGAGTGCAGCTGTTTCGTAAGCGTGCGTGTGTTAGTCGACTCTTATTCATGACGGAGAAAGGCCATACACACAGATGCTTGTGATCGTTCCCTTGCTGCCCCCTCCTTCATCCACCTCTCCCTCCTCTTCGTCTGATCCTCCATCCCTTGCTGAATATTCAGATCCTGTCACACTTTTTTTTTCTCAGTCTGCCGAGGGCTCCCTCTCCACCTCTCACCTCCCTCTTTCTCCTCTCCTTTCCCCTTTCCTTTTTTCCTCCTTCACTCTCTATCTTTCAGTTCCACATATTCTTCCCTTTGTCTTTCCCTCCATCCTTCCTCTTCTTCCTTGCTACCCTCTCTTTTTCCCTTCTTCCCTCTTTCCCTCCTCCTCTTCTCTCCTTCTCTCCTCCCCATTCTCTCTCCTCCTCCTCTCCCCTTCCCCTCCCCGCCCCCCAACCTATTCCTCTGTCTCTGTTCCCACCTAAACTCGTCAAAGATGTTTTATGCTTTGACGTGCTGCTCCCTCGCCCCCTCCCCGGGCTTATCCTCACGCTCGTAGACTCTCCTTGGCTTAGAGCAATCCCTTTGTCAGGATTTAGCGAAGCCTTCACATTTCTGCGTTGGCCTTTTCTTCCGTTCCTTCCACGTTCACGCCACCATTCTTGGCCGCCTCTGTTTATGGACGCTGGTCCCCTTCTGCGTCGTCTGCCTGTGAAGCTGGCTTTTAGCAGGGCGAGGGATGGCTGCCGGAATATCTATTGGCTGCTTACATCGCTCGCGGCGCTAATACGTCGTTGCGTTCCTTTGTCTACTTCTCCTTCCGTCCTCGTTTTAGTTTTGTTTCTGTGCGCTTGAGGTTGCGGGGGAAGGGTTGCGGCGGGGAAACTTTGGACGGGGTTTGTGCTAGCAAGTCTTTTATCGTCGAAACTTTGGGGATTGCTTGCTTGTCATTAGCTCGCCCCTTTTCCTCTCCGAGCAGTGGAGACGGCGAAGGGTGGGCGAGACGATGACGGATGGCTGGCACGCGTTCGAAGCCCTCTGGATGTAACCCTCTCGTGCCGGAAGCCCCAGGATGACCTAAATTCTGTTCGGGCCGTTTTCTGATATGTTAAGTGTCGGGCCCGTGAATGATGACCTAACTTGGGACCGAGTTTAATCGACGTGTGCGATAGGAGGCGGGTTTAAAGCTGCGGGCCGACCCACGCAGGAAGAAAGGGCAAACTGGGTCGCCCTTCGGGGAGGATGACGGCGGATCCTTGGCGAAAGGGCGGAGGGAAGCGGCCTGGAAATGACGGCGAGCCTAAGGAGGGTCGATACGATCCCCTTCATGATTCGAGGCTTAAGCTCTCCGACGACCGGCCTCGACGTAGGGCTGACCTGGGCCAAGGAGACCCGGCGTAAGGAGTGCCCCAGGCCGAAGGTGACCTGGGGGCCCTGCGAGGAGAGGGGGATTGGGCACGTTATAGTACCCTTGGTTTAGGGCGGAGGGCAAGGGTTCTCGGGGGGAGGGGCTGCGGAGAGTGCGGGGTGGGGGTGGGGGGGGATTTCGTAGCAGTGTGGCAGCGATGAGGGTGACGTATGGGTTGGAAGTGTTTAAATGCTGCTCTGGATGCCGCCCATCGATCTATATGCTGGTTTCCTTTCTTGCTACCTCCGTCTCTCTCTCTCTCTCTCTCTCTCTCTCTCTCTCTCTCTTCTCTCTCTCTCTCTCTCTCTCTCTCTCTCTCTCTCTCTCTCTCTCTCTCTCTCTCTCTCTCTCTCTCCGATCTCTCCATCCTCTTTTCTCTCCTTTCTCTCTCATCCCTGCCCCTCTCTTCTCTTATTCTTTCCTTTCTCTTTTTTCTCTCATATCCTCTCGTCTCACTCCTCAATTTTCTCCCATTCCTCTCTTCCTCTTACGCCCCGCGTCTCTCTCTCCCGTCTCCTCCTTCACGCACCCTCTTTCCTCTACCATTCCCCTCTCTCCTCCTGCATCTCCCTTTCCCCCTGCCTCTCCCTTCCCCAGCCCCCCTCCTGTCTTCCCTCTCCCTCCCAGCCCCCCTGTCTCTTTCACACTAAATATGTATCTTTTATCCCCCTTTATGATCGCCATAAAAGGGAAAGGGTTAACATCATTAGTATGCTGCTACTTTCCAGAGCATTCTTTTCCTTCCCTCTTCCTCTTCCTCGCCACTGATACGCCCTGCAGCCGCCGCCTGCGCCTTCGTCAGCGTGCCTCTCCGTGCCGAAGCCTTGGCGCACAGAGCACGGGCGGCGCAGTGCCAGGGATGAGGCAATATAGGCGTGTGTTTTTCGCGAGGGCGTTTGGGTCTGCTGATTAGGCTTGGGAATCGCATGATTGGTCGGACGGCTCGCGCTTATCCAATCAGCAGCCTGGGGGCCTCGGCAGATTTCTGTTTTACGAAGGAAGACAAACAGCCCGGGAACCAGGGGGAGGCCGGTGGCCCCTCCGTCCCCGGCCCCCCTCGCCTCCTCGGTCCCCTCGGGGCAATGCAATCATGTGAACACTTCCGCGGACACTCGTAAAAATGATCCCCCTGATGAGGTCCATGATCGAGTCGCTCCTGCCCGGCGTCTGGACACGCGCACAAACGCTCACACGCACACACACGTACACGAATGTGTACATGCACATGCACGCGCACTGACACACACACACACACACACACACACACACACACACACACACACACACACACACACACACACACACCACACACACACACACACACACACACACACACACACAACACACACACACACACACACACACACACTTGCATACACGCACATACACATATACATACATATTTACATGCATACACACATACATTTTCGCACACATTTTCTTGTGGATGTATCTTGTGCGTGCGTTGTATTAAGAACTAAAGGCATCATAGGATTCTTCACATTTTACCTTTAACTCTATGTAGCCTCTGAGATGGATGCAGACGTAATACATGATTAGAATTCATACTAATGAGGATAATTTTTTGTTTCAGGTGAGGATGGAAGGCCCGCTGTTCACACAGGAAATGGCAAATTTGGACGTAATAGTGAGTACAGACGAAAGGAGAAAGTGAGGGATAGAAAAGTCCAAATGTTTAAATTTGAACAAGTAGTTCAAATCAGTGTATTCCTAAAAGTGGATATTTTTTTAAGAGTGAGAGAGAGTGTGTGCGTAAGAGAGAGAGTGTAGTGAGAGAGAGTGTGAGTGTGTGTGTGTGTGTGAATGAATGAGTGAGAATGTGTTTGTAAAGGAGTGAGTGTGTGCGGATGAGAGAGAGAGAGAGAGAGAGAGAGAGAGAGAGAGAGAGAGAGAGAGAGAGAGAGAGAGAGAGAGAGAGAGAGAGAGAGAGAGAGAGAGAGAGAGAGAGAGAGAGAGAGAGGAGAAGAGAAAAAAAGAAAGAGAGAAAGAGAGGACGAACACTCTGAAATGCGTGTGACCTTTGCACACACACACAGGTCCTGCCGCGCCGCCTCTTAATCCAGAAAAAGGGCCAGGACTGAAGCCTTTCCTTGTAACGTGTCTCACTCCTTAGCCACACCCTCAGCGTCCCTTCTGCAGGAGTGGGAGACCTATGGAGGAAAGGTTTATGATCAAAAGAACAAAGAAAAAAAAAACAAAGAAAGAAAGGAAGAATGGGTGAATAAAAAAAAACTGAAAATGGGAAAAAACCTTTCAGACATGCATCGTACGTTCCTTGTTTATTCCTTGTTTTATGACCTTATCGAACTTTATCAAGAAAACTTTTCTTTAACCCTCCCCACTGAAAATGGAAAACATCACCTCACAGACATTTGCCGTCTGCCCCCCCCCCTCCTCTACCCCCCCTCCCCTCCTCCGCACTCATGACAGCTGACGTGAAATACATCGAAACTACATTTCAAAAAAATATTCAAAGTTCGTCCAGAAGGGAAAAGAGAAATTAAACGGAAAAAAATAAAAACCACGTTAGTACGCGGCGGTTTAAGCGGGCTATTTGTGCGGTAAACGATGTATGAGAGCGTAGTAAAGACGAGGGCTAGTTACCATAACCCTTCGCCATTATCACCGCCCGAGCCACAGTTTAACGTCCCCATCGCCAGCCAATACCGCCATTGCCTCAGCCCATCACAGGTGCGGCGGCATCGCGGGCGGGGAGGGGTGGGGGGCGTGGTCGTGGCTTTTTCTGCTTTTGTTTCGTTGTAGTTTTCTCTTTCTTTGTGTGTGTGGCCGGTTGTTATATTTATTTTATTTGTTTCTTTCTCGTTTTGTTTATATTTCTTTCACATGTTTCCCCCCCTGTTTCTCTTTCACCTGACGTGCCCTTTCCCTCCTCTCACCACTTTCTAGCCTTCCCTCCCTCCCTTCTTCCTTCTTCTCTCCTCCGTCCCCTCCCCACCTCCACCCACCCACCTTCCCCCTCCACTCCTGTCCCCTCTCCTCCCCATCCACAATCCCTCCTCCACTTCTCTACCCCCTCTCATCCACCCCTTTCCCTCCCTCCTCCCTCCACTCCTCTCCCCTCTCCTGTCCCCCCTTTCCCTCCCTCCACTCCTCTCCCTTCTCCTATCCACCCCTTTCCCTCCTTCCACTCCTCTTCCCTCTCCGATCCACCCCAATCCTTCCCTCCTTGACTCTCCCTTTCCCTCTCCCCTTTTTTCCCTCTCAGTCCGTCTCCCTCATACACCCATTTTTCATGCGTCCGAGGCATCTTCCTTCGGTAATTCCTCATCGTCCAAGCGCTTTTCAATGTCTGGACCGTGGGTGAGCCTCTGTCCTCCCCTTCAGAAAATGAACTCGCCTCGGAACGCCAGCATTGTCTTTTTATTCGACTCGTCACCGGTGGCGTGTTCCTGCCCCGTCCTCTTCCCCCCAAGGACCTGGCGATTTCTCAGCGATGCGAAATCTGCATTGCTCTTTCCTTTTTTTTTTTCTTCTTCTTCTCGGTCGCCGTTCTCCTATTTCTCCCTCTACTTCTATCGTTTTATAACGTCTTCTATCGTCCCATTTCACGCCACCCCTTACCCTCCCCCTACTCTCTTTCCCTTCTCCCTTCTCCACTCCCCGTCGCGGAGTTTCTACAGCATCACAGTCTCTCTCCCTTCCCTTCTGCTGGAGACCCATGAATCATTTGTCCCGAGAAAGACTTCTCTTTATCCCCCTTCCTTGTTTTTCTTCTCCTCATTGCTGTCCACCTTCAGCTCCTTTTCCTCCTCCCCCTCCCCCTTTCCTCCTCCTCCTCTTCTTCTTCCTTCTCCCCCTCCCACTCTTCCTCCTCCTCCCCCTCCCCCTCCCACTCTTCCTTCTCCTCTTCTTTTCCTTCTCGCCCCCATTCCTCCTCATTTTGCCTCCCCTTCATTCCTCCCTCCTCCCCCTCCTCCCTATTTGAGCATTATTTAGCAATGCCTCCGCCATCCGTGCATCCCAAAGTGGTCTACCCCACCCGCAGTCAACAAGGCCAAAGTTGAGTGCTATTAGGAGACTTTCAGAAGGTTCCTCCTCCTCCTCCTCCTTCTTCTTCTACTTATTTCTTACTCCTCCTAGAAGGTTCCTCCTCCTCCTCCTTCTTCTACTTCTTCCTTACTCCTCCTCCTCCTCCTCCTCTTCCTCTTCTTCCTCTTCCTCCTCCATTACTTTCTATAACCAGAACTGTTTCATCTTGTTAGGCTTTTTTTTTCTGTGCGTGTGCGTGTGTGCGGGAGAAAAGGTAGGGGCAGGGGGCAGGGGGCAGGGTAGGCTTCCCTTGGCTGCAACATCCTTGTTTACAGCCCCGCACATCACACTTGTTACAGTGAGCTCTGCTATTTTGTCGAGAGCCCGAGGAGGACTTTGCTCGCTCTGCTGAGAGGAGAGAAGGGGAAAGGGAGAGGGAAAGAGGAAGGGGTAAGGAGAGGTAAGGGAAAAAGGAAGAGTTAGAGAGAGAAGTGGAAAGGGAAAGGGAAGATGAGGGAGAGGGAAGGGGAAGGGGAGAAGGAGTCCCTAAATTTTCTGCTGAGTAAAGCTTGAGGAACGAGTTGGAGCAGGAGCCGAGCTGGAGGAGGAAGTGAAAGATAGGGCGAGGGAAGAATGAAAAGGAGAGAAGAGAAAGAGAAAGAGAGAATAAAAGGCAAGAAAAGAAAAGAAGAGAAGGAGGAGGAGGAGCAAGAAAAATGAGGACAAAGAGTATTGAAAAAAAAGAGAAACAAAGCCATCGAAGGCAAACAAAATAAAAAATTAAAAAATTAAAGAAGAAGAAGATAGGGAAAGGAAGAGGAGGATCCAAAGGACAGGGCGAGGGTAGGAGTTCGTAGGGAACAGGGTTGGATGGGATGGGAGGGTGAGGGGGGAGGGGAAGAGGGGAGCAGTGTACTCTATTGATCGCGATAGGCGGCGCGCCCTCCCTCGCCCTCCCTCGCCCGGCCAGCCACCTCTAGGCCCGTCATTGTAGTTTTCGGCGGGCCGCCGGGGCTGCGCTGCCTTCCCCTCTCCCTCTTCCCCTCTATTCCATCTTCCCCTCTTCCTTTCCCATTGTTCCATCTCCCCCCCCTTCCTCTTTCCCTCCGTTCCATCTTCCCCTCTCCCCTCTGTTTTTTCTTCTCCTCCTTGTCTCTCCCTCTGTTCCATCTTCCCCTCTTCCTTTCCCATTATTCCATCTTCCCCTCTTCCTTTCCCATTGTTCCGTCTTCCCCCTTCCTCTTTCCCTCCGTTGTATCGTCCCCTCTGTTTCTTCTTCCCCTCTTCGTCTCTCCCTCTGATACATCTTCCCCACTTCTCTGTTCTCCTCTTCTCCTTCCCTCCTTTTCTCCACGTTTCTTCTCTCTCCTGCCTCCTGCTCCCCTCCTATATTCCCCTCCTTCCTGGCCCAGAGACCTGATTTCCCGATCAATTTAGTACGTGATTCGAAGGATGGGGTGTGGTGTACGTACGAGAGGAGGAAGGAGGAGGAGGAGGAGGAGGAGGAGAGGAGGAGGAGGAGGAGGAGGAGGAGGAGGAGGAGGAGGAGGAGAGGGGGGGAGGGGGAGGGGGGAGGAGGGAGAGGGGGAGGAGAGATGGAGAGGAGTGGAGGATCAAGATACAGCTCACTAACTTTGTGTGTGTGTGTGTGTGTGTGTGTGTGTGTGTGTGTGTGTGTGTGTGTGTGTGTGTGTGTGTGTGTGTGTGTGTGTGTGTGTGTGTGTGTGTGTGTGATTATGCTTGTTTTCATTCCGACTTATTAAGTCCATCCCTATCAAACAAAGGGAAGTCTGGTTGGAATTGTTTTTTTTTTTTTTTTTTTTTTTTTTTCTCGCTCAATCATTAGTAGCTATTTTCCCCCTTGTACCATTTTCCTCGCCGTTACAAGCATTTCCCACCAGCTGTTTCTCCCCCCCCCCTTTTATATCCTCGGGTAGATAGGCACCTGCGATAGACCGAGGGGAAACATAGCCGGGTGTGAGGGGACTGTGTAATAATAATCTCTTTGTTGAGTCTCGCGGTTGTAGGCCTGGGGTTGCTGGTGGAGGTTTCCCCTTGTTTTCGTTTCTCTTTCTTGTTAGTTTGTGTATGTGTGTCTGTGGCTTTGTATTTGTTTGTTTTAGTGTTGGATCTATGTGTGCGTGTTTGTCTTTGTGTGGATATGTATAATCTTCCTTTCTCATTTTTTCCCTCTCTTTTAGGTACCTTCTCTTTTACCCTCCTGCCCTACTGACCTTTTCTTGCCCTTCCCTCCACTCCCCTCAGTTCCCCTCTCTTCCTCGCATTTTACTTTCCCTTCCCCTTTCTCTCTCTCTTACATCTCGTATTCCCTCCTCTCCCCTTCCATTCCCTTATCTCCCCTCCCATTCCCTTATCTCCGCTCCCATTCCCTCCTCTCCCCTTCCATTCCCTTATCTCCCCTCCCATTCCCTCCTCTTTCCTCCCATTCCCTCCTCCCCATCTCCTTTTCTCCCCTCTTACTCCCTCCTCTCCCCCTCATTTACTTCCCCTCTTCCCTTCCTCCTCCCCTTCTCATTCCTCGAACATATTTCCCGTTTTTTGTGTCTCTCCTGTGTCCTCATCCCACACACTTCCGGAGCGACAGTGTCCTCAAAGGATGAAGCTCGAGTAAGTGTG